GTATGTGGTCCACTAAGTGTTAGTGCGAAGGGTGGATATAACTACTTCGCTACCTTTACCGACGATTGTTCTAGGTATGGGTATGTGTACTTGATGAAGTACAAGTCTGAAACATTTGAAAAAATCAAAGATTTTAGACACGAAGTGGAAAAGCAACTCGGACGAAGTATTAAGAAGCTGCGATCCGATCGTGGTGGAGAATACTTGAGCATCGAGTTCATTGACTATCTAAAAGAGAATGGGATACAATCCCAATGGACTCCACCGGGAACTCCTCAACTTAATGGAGTCTCCGAACGTCGGAATCGAACCTTATTAGATATGGTTCGATCAATGATGGGGTTCACAAACTTACCGGCATACTTGTGGGGTCATGCACTTCGTACTGCCGCATATTTGCTGAATAGAGTTAACACCAAAGCAGTTAAATCCACACCTTATGAACTTTGGCATTCCCGGAAACCCAACTACAAACATATTAGGATATGGGGTTGTCCCGCTTAATTATGTGAAGCGATTAGTGGGAGATAAGTTGGATAGTAAATCCGACTTGTGCTATTTTGTGGGGTATCCCGAAGACTCGATGGGATACGAGTTCTACTATGTCAAGGAAGCAAAGACGTTTGTTTCGAGAAATGCCACCTTTTTGGAAAGGGAGTTTATATCCGATAGAAAGGGCAGCATGATAGAACTTGAAGTAGTTCAAGAACCACAAAATGAAGTTCAAACGCAAGAACAAGTAATCGAACCAATACAACAAACCACTAATATACCTCCTGAACCTACGGTACGTAGATCCGAAAGAGTTCGGAAAATGCCGGATAGGTTATTCCTCCTCGAAAATGATGAAGATCATGTTGATCTTGGACAAGATCCAAGAACATACAATGAGGCCGTATCGGATGCGGACATGGGACATTGGCTAACTGCCATGAAATCCGAAATGGACTCCATGTACTCCAACAAGGTATGGACCTTGGTAGATCCACCCAAAGGAATTGTTCCTATAGGCTGCAAGTGGATCTATAAGAAGAAAATTGGAGTTGGTGGAAAGGTATCGACCTATAAAGCTAGATTGGTAGCAAAAGGATACACTCAAAGGCAAGGTGTTGACTATGAGGAAACCTTTTCGCCAGTCGCGATGCTGAAGTCCATTAGGATTTTGCTGGCCATAGCTGCGTGGTACGACTACGAGATATGGAAAATGGATGTGAAGACCGCCTTCCTTAATGGAGATATTGAGGAAGAAATTTACATGGCGCAGCCGGAAGGCTTCATATCTTCTGGAAGTGAGAAAAAAGTTTGCAAGCTCCAGCGATCCATTTATGGATTGAAGCAAGCATCCCGTAGTTGGAACATTAGGTTCGACTCAACTATCAAAGAGTTTGATTTTGAGAAGAATCCGGAGGAACCTTGTGTATACAAGAAGGTTAGTGGGAGGGCAGTGATATTTTTAGTACTTTACGTTGATGACATTCTACTCATTGGGAATGACGTAGGAATGCTGCAACAAACGAAAGCATGGTTGTCCACACGTTTCTCAATGAAGGATTTGGGAGAAGCATCTTACGTATTGGGAATACGCATCTATAGAGATAGAGCAAGGAAGATGCTTGGCTTATCCCAAAGCATGTACATAGACACCGTTATGAAACGGTTTAGCATGGAAGAATCCAAGAAGGGATTCTTGCCAATGTCCCATGGGGTTCGTCTCTCGAAATCTATGTGTCCGCAAACACCTAGTGAAATCGAGGAGATGAAAAGGACGCCTTATGCTTCTGCCATAGGAAGCATAATGTATGGCATGCTATGTACGAGACCCGATATTGCGTATGCTGTGAGTGTCACAAGCAGATATCAGTCTAACCCCGGCCCGGCTCACTGGAAAGCCGTGAAAGATCATATCCTCAGGTACTTGCGAAGAACTAAGGATATATTTTTGGTCTATGGGGGTGCCGAGTTGAAATTAGAGGGTTTTACTGACTCTAGTTTTCAATCGGATGTGGACGACTCGAAGTCGAATTCTGGATTTATATTCACGCTTAATGGTGGTGCCGTGTGTTGGAAGAGTTCCAAGCAAAGCACGACGGCCGATTCCACTACCGAAGCGGAATACATTGCAGCGTCCGAAGCTGCAAAAGAAGGGACTTGGATAAGGAAATTCATCCAAGAGTTGGGTGTCATTCCTGATGCTAGTGATCCAGTACCGTTGTACTGTGATAACACCGGAGCCGTGGCGCAAGCTAAGGAGCCACGATCTCATCAGAAGTCGAAGCATATTCTGAGGAAGTATCACGTGATCCGAGAGATCATTGATAGAGGTGAAGTTAAAGTTGAACGAGTTACCTCGGAAGAGAACGTAGCAGACCCCTTCACGAAGCCTTTACCGAGATCGGTCCATGAGAAACATCGAGAGTCGATGGGATTGCGATTTATGGGTAGTTGGCTTTAGGTCAAGTGGGAGATTGTTAGAGTAGGTGACCAACAAGCCAACATGTGGCTGTGGTCTTTCGTATTTATTATTGTAATAAACGAACCTTTATTCGTATTAATGATAAAACACCTTGGCATTCTATATCTTTGTCCCTTTGTCACAAGCATAGATATAGTCCTTACAGTTATTACAAGTACTAGTAATTGATCATTAGGATCGTGAGATATTTACTCAAGTATTATAACTGTTAAACGTGTTCCTAGTCGAAGGGTTACGCCACTAATGAGGATATCGGCCTTTCCCATTAAGACTAGCACTTAGTGTATGTGTACTGCATCTCATCAGTAAACGGTATTGTGATATCGGCATGCATAAGTGGGTGCTCGTAAGTTGACGAGTTCACTGAACTCCCTCACCCTAGAAATCTCTAAGTGGTTCCCAATAATCGAGTAGAGATATCTATGGTAAAGTTGTACACCATTAGTCCTTATGACCTAGACATCACCGTGACTTCACTAGAGGACCAGCTGTATCGTGACCTGTCCCTGAGTTCCACCGAGGACCATCCCAAGGGCCAGTGTTCGTGCAGTCCGAAATCTAGTGGGAGGTCTGTGCATTTTAGTCGGGGATTCGATCGCTAGAATAGTCTTGGATGTCCTGTGTGTTCTGATAGTTTGTAATCATTCTAAGTCTCTGGCCAGAGCTGACTAAGTGATGATTAGAGGATTCGATTCTCTAAGTCATGCACGTGACGATTACAACACTTGGAACGATCGCACCGTCATCGAACATATAAAGAGGTCTCGATGAACCAATGCCTCTAGTTCGATCGGGACATATGAATCGAAGGGACCGTACTGTACGTTAACTATATCTGAAGGTTCTTGTAGGCACTTCATTTGTATCTAGGGAATCATGACGCGTAGTTGCTAGACGCCAATCTTGATTCGTTGGGTGATTAAGGTGAAACGAGGTTCATCTTAATCGTAACTCTAAGGGACGAGTTTTGACCACAAAGGGTTGTGGGCCCACGGCTAGCTTACACCTGAACCATCGAGGGTCACACTGCTCGTGCACATGAGATCTTTGAATAAACGGTCAGAGATAAAATAGTTTATCTTAGCATGATTGGAAGTCAATATGATTGGGTCCAACAATCGTAATTTGGAATTATGAATGAGAATAAGAAAAGGAAAAGAATAGGCGAACGTGTTAGTGAACTTTCTAAATCGGGAAGTTTCCAAATTTAGAAAGTGCACTGAACTAGGGTTTCCACTTTTGGAAAGTTGGAAAATGAGAGATGGCACTCGTAATGACGAGGTTATTATAATGATTCTGAAAATGTAATCGTTGCAAATTTCCGATCATTGAATTGAGAGAGACGAGCAAGTAAAGGAACTAACGAGCTTAAGCTGTTGGGCCCGGTCCAACTTAAGCCCGTTAGGGTTTTATGCAATGGACTATAAATACTTGATTTATAGGCCTTGCAAAAACACACAAGACCTAACCCTAACCCTAGCCGTCCCCCTCTCTCTCTCGGCCTCTCTCTCCCGCGGCCACCACCGCCGTCAACGCCGCCGTTTCGCCGGAATCGGCCGTTCATCGGCCGATTGCTTTGGTAGTTTCTTTCCTTCTCTTTTTCTTTCGTTTTTCTAACTTTTACGTGTCTAGTGCCACGTGTTTAGTAGATCAAAGTATACGAGGTGAAATCCGAGAGGAGGAAGATCGAAGAATCGAGGAGCAGCCCTAAAGCCGACGACACACGCGACCCACGCGCCGCCCCGAAGACCGCGCGTGAGATACACGCGCCGCCGTGCCGTCTCGCCGTTGCAGCTGTTGCACCGCTGCTGCCCCGATTGTACGGATTGGTTTCCGTAGCAATCTCGACTTGCTAAGCGCTCCTACTTCACGCTTCAAGAGGTAAACACACGAATCCCTTGTTTCGATTCGTTTACGTTTAAACTATATATTCATGTTTGCTTTTGTATGATTTTATGTGATTATGTGTAATCGTTTTAATCGTTGCAAGCATGTTAGTTGGTTTAAACGCGAGCATGTTAATTGTTTTAAATTCAGTTAAACATTTAGCATGTATGTTGTTTTTAATTTCGCTGGAAGCGCAAAGGTACGCAATTAATTGATTTAATTTTGTCGGGCATGTGCTTGTGTGCTTTAAAGTCGTTTAAATCACATTAATTTTTGTTTTCCGCTGCGTACACGTGCCCGAAACCCAACACTTCGCCGATGAGGGATTCGGCAGGTCCATGCCGGCAACGGTGGAGAAAGAACGATCAATCTCAGGTTTTCTCTGCTAGGGTTCATTTTAAGTTTAAATTAAATCAACATTAATTATAAAGCAATTCAATTAGTCATGTAGTTAAAATTCCTAATAATTCTTAAGTAAGGATTTTAGGTCTACGGGGATTTGATTTGGGATTAGGGTTTCAAAAATGTGGGGTGTTACATCGTTTCTCAATGCTTAGATGACGACATGTAATATAATAACATAATATTATAGGTATTATAGATAAACGCTTCATGTAAGAACATAGATTCATATTAGAAATGATCATTTTAAAGTATTTGTAACAAATTCAAACATGAAAAAATAAGAACCTTTCAAATACTTGTCGCAAGTGAAAATAAGTGAAATAGAACTTGTATAACTTACAAAACAATATCGACAATGTTCTCATAAAAAAATAGATGACTTGTGTAAAGATGAACAGTTTATGTATATCATTTTTCCCTGTATGACTAATGACTATTCTATTGAGAGCTCAATTGACATTACATGTTCAACTCTCATGCTGAATTGCAAATATATTTTTGGTTATTGTTTTCATTTTTTCTTGCTTCATGTCATGTGTGTTGTGGTTTGTCTACATGACTTGGAAATGTGTTGTTTATCATCTAACAAAGAAAGCATATCAACCATCTTCAGGTTTGTGCCGAGTTTTAGACAAGTCTTTTTACCTGCTACCAACAATAATCCAGTAGATAATTATGCTTTTCAATCCTAAGTAAGTAAAACCAGAAAAATATGTATTCATGCCAGTGAGCGAGAGAGATTACCAGACCCCATCCAAGGCAACCTCAATACGATTGTCTCAAATTTACGAACGTTTTGGCTGATAAAAAGAAGTATTATATTCTCAACTCCATCTTGTTTATATCTTATTCATGGAAATTAAATAATGGCAAAAACAATCTAGTTATACAAAAATAGAAAGACAAAAAGAAAAAAAAAAAAAAAAAGGAAACATCAAAGTCGACTTTTGCCTATACTTATAGATCCCTTTTCTCCAAAACCAACATGGTCCTTATCATCAACTGCAAGTTTGACATGATCTTTTCCAACCCAAGGCAAAGAAAGCATTCTTGGATGAGGCAGTAAAGCCCCAGATATATCTCCCCACCACTCTGGATTCCTCACATACCACTCCATCGTCTTCCTCAAACCATCACCCCACTTAGTTTTCTCCGACCACCCCAATCTATTCAGCTTTCCACTATCTAAAAAGTACCTCTGGTCATTAAAAGGTCTATTATCCACAAATTTAATCACAACAGACGCATCCAACGCAAAAAGCCTACACACATCCACCGCCACATCAACAACTCGTTTCTCCTCCTCTGTCCCAACATTATAAACATGACCAACTTCACCCCTATGCAGTATAGTATCAAAAGCCCCCGCCACATCATCACAATAAAGATAACTCCTCACATTCAACCCGTCCCCATGAATAGGGAGTGGTTGCCCTCTCATTGCTAATAGAATAAATTTAGGAATTAATTTCTCTGGAAATTGATGTGGCCCATACACATTATTGCCCCTCGTGATTATAACTGGTAGACCGTACGATCTTCCGTATGCCATGACAAGCATTTCAGCCCCGGCTTTGGATGCCGAGTAAGGGTTCGTGGGTAGAAGCTGTGAGGCCTCGTGATTTCCTACAGCAGCGTTCTCATCTGTCTCTCCGTACACCTCATCCGTGCTGACGTGGACGAACCTCTTGATTCTATTAGAAGCTTTGCAAGCTTCCAGAAGGACGCATGTGCCGTACACATTGTTCTTGATGAACTCGAAGCTGTTTCCAAATGAGTTGTCGACGTGGGTTTGTGCTGCAAAGTGCATGACTGTATCTATCGACTCTGTGACGAGTATGTAATTGACTAGGTCGGCACTGCAAATATCACCTTTAACGAATTTGAAGTTGGGGAAACTTCTAGAAGAATCTAGGTTCTTCAAGTTGGAACAGTAGTCCAGCTTGTCCAAGACAACGATTATGTACTGGGAGTAGTTCCGTGTTAGCCAGTTCGAGACGTGTGACGCTATGAAACCAGCACCCCCCGTGATTAAAATATTCTTTGGTTTATACTTTTCCATATTTAAGCAAAACCATCAAGGCCCTTTTAATCTAGAAAGAGAACAAGAAAAATCAAAACTTCGATAAAACAATGTAACAAGTGTTATAATCCACATACATAATTGTACATTATTTTATCCCAACAATTAAGAGAGAGAAAAAACTCGATTTCAAAAATTAAAATAAAAACTCAATCAAAGATCCATTTTTTTAGCAACTAACAGGTGGATCTGACAATAATACACGTTCCCCTCATATTATCAATATATCCAACAAATTATGCATTGACATCAAGAATATTGCAATGAAAATTTCACAAAGAAAATATAAATTTCCTTATGTGCATATAATGCCATACTATTGAAATAACACACGAAAATAAACAAAAAATAATTGCACTAAATGATGGAAATACATAACAAAATCACAAATCTAACTATTTGAATCGGTCGAAACTTTTCTCAAAATAATAAACACAGCAAAGAACCATAATGTACTCAAGCTTCCACATAGGATACAATGGGTAGAAATCTAATTAATCAGAGCGAAACATACATAAGATAAAACAACAATTAGAAGTATGGAAGAATTCGTATAATTGATCTAATTTACCTAAAATCATGAATCTTAATTCATCAAATGGATCAGAAAGAACTTCAGTTTCGTCAATTTTGTACGTGGAAATATATACTTATGGATGATTGTTTATGTAAAGGAGGAGAAGAAGATCCATATAATCATCTTTTAACAAGAACTGCTGATCCAAATTAAAATTAGACTAATATTACAGGCTCTGGCTATAATTGGATATTCTTAAATAGGATATATATATATATATATATATATATATATATATATATATATATAGACATATAACGAGAATTAACCAAGGCCTAGTATTTAAATTAAGGGCAAATTGCACAAAAATACATGACAATAGTACTTAATTAAAAAATGCATATCTTTTTTTGTTGTCTTACAAATATATCCATTTGTCCAACACTTATTCGTTACTAAGTAAAACTCTCACATATACACAAAAATTACATATAACCCTTTGAAACCATAATTCTATAATCCTTTGGAACCCTAATTCACCCATTTTCATGATATAATCCCTAATTTGCCTCACTTACACCAATTAGCCAATTTTAACCACTAACTCAATTTTGACCGTCACCGCCGTTGACTTTTTTTATGTTATTTTTTTCCTTTCTAAAATTATGTTTCCCGCCACCGCCGGTCAACGGCGGTCTCTGGCGTTGATTTCTATTTTTTTTTTCTTTCTACGGCTGTATCACCATCACAAAATAATATTATTGTTAACATAGTAATATTACTTTGATAAAAGTAATATGAAGTAATATCACTATGATGGAATGTAGATTCATGTCTCAGACTGTAATATTGTTGTTAATACAATAAATATTATTGTGGTAATATTAATATTATTGTCTTGGCCTGCAAATTACTATGTCAGACAGTAATATTGTTGTTACCACAGTAATATAATTGTGTTAATTTTAATATTACTGCATTGTCCTGCAATATTACTGTCTCAAACAATAATATTGTTGTTAACACAATATTACAGTGTTAATATTATTGTATCAGACAATAATACATTGTGAGCACAACCAGGAGAAACAAGTCACTCAAAGGATATCCCACCATCAAATGCTAAAACCATAACCAAAATTGGTAAAATGGGAAGACAAGGTGTCCTAATAACTTGCACCCAATGCTAATAGAAAAACCACAATACAAGAAGCTGCCATTTGAAGAAAACTATTGGTACAAGCGAGGTAGAGTGTATTTTAATGCAGTGAATTGTATTTATTCATGTGTGTTTGGGATGCTAATTGTAATCTTCCTCTGTTGACTTGTAGAAAAATATACATAAGCCACACAGACTATACAAGCTACAGTCACCCAACAGCAAAGCCAAGCTATTGTGACTCAAGTAGAAAGCCTGTCTACTGGCATGAAAATTGTAGCAAGGAAGAATTAGAAAGGTTTGATTTGGTTTAATATGCTTAAGGCAATGTTTTCATAAAAAATACGTGTTTAATGCCATTGTTTGATATGTAATATATGTACTGTAACACCCCATATTTTCATAAGCATATTATAGGAATTTATTGAATAAATTATCAATATGAACATTTCTATACATACATTACCTTTCATGAATTAATTAGTAAATGCTATGCACCTTAGTTGCTTATATGCATTATATGAGATTATGTTGAATAAATGATGAATATGCATTCAGAGATTAATTAGTAATTTCAATGCATTCTAAGTGTTTAAGTGAATTTTATAAATTATGATAATTATGAATTAGGTGTACTTGTTTGATTAAATGATTTAGTAACTTCGATTCCATGATTAAGTGATTCTTGTGATTCTGTAAGTCTGCTCCTACGAATTTTGTGAATTAAAATTCATTATGCAACTTAATTGAATTAGTTAATTCATGAATTTTCATAGTTTAATTAATGGATTTATGATTAGTAATTAGTTAATCCCATTCATCTAAGTGTTTATATGACTTATAATAGATTTTATAATTTGGTTAATAGTTCCACTCAATTTCACTTTTATTCTGTAATTAAATATTTATATGTGCTTAAGTGCGTGCATGAGTCGTGTAATTTCTTATGCATATGTGTGAATTATATGAATGTGCCATGTGTATGTGTATGGTGTGTTTATATGACATATTATATGAATATGTATACTATCATATATTATATGTGCTTGTATATATGTGAGGATTTAATTATGTGTATACATGTATGTATGTTCTATGTGCATGTTTATTTAATGTACATGTATGTGGCATACATGCCCATAACTCCCTCTCTCTCTCCCGGTAAATACATGGTAATTTCCTCTCAAATTCTTCTTTCTATTATTTTAATATTATATATAGATGCATATATATATATATCTATAGATTTTGTGTGTGCATGTGCTTGAGTGTTGTAAAATAGCCATGTGTATGTGTTGTGGGTGTTGGATTTGTGGTGTGCTTCCAAGTGTCCTAATTCCCTTAATTGCAATCTACACCCTCTTGTCTTCTATATTACAAGTAAGTCCCTCTACTCCCATATAAATTGACCCTTCCTCTTCACTATTTTAAGCATAAATACATCAGCCTAAAAATCACTCCTCTCCTCTCTTTCTCATCCAAATACAGCCCCAAAAGGAAGAATTCATCTTCCACTTCCAAACCTTCAAGATTCTTCATAAAAGTCTCTCTTTTCCTCTTCTAAAATCCTCTCAAAATGCCTCTCTCTCCCTAAATTCGAGATTCCTCAAATACACTCAAAGAAACAACCATATAATCTCTCAAAACTCATCTCCAAAGCAATCCAATACCACCCATGTCAAGCCCAAAGACTTCCAAGCTAAAACTCCATGGATCCTTGGTTTCTTCTCCTTCTTAGCCTTTGATTTTCATGGGTAAGGACATTGGTCTTTACTGAAATAATAACCTAATTAATATGAATTATATGTGTTTTAATGAATTATATGTTTGTGGTTTTAATTTTGGGCTTTAGAAGATAAAGTTCTTGATGAACACTAATTGAAATTCAGATTCGTAGCCTCTGTTTGTATTGCATGTCTCATCGGGTAATACTTAAGATAAAATTATGAAAGTTTACTATAGTTTAGATAATTGTGTTAGCTTCATTTTGATATCAATTATGCCTTAATCGGATTTATATTGATTAAGTTATAGATCGTTCTCTGAAACTGCACAGTTTCTGAGTCATTTATGCATTATGTGTTTAATACGACTTTATACTAATTTGATTTACGTGAGTTACTTGAATATGATTATATACTTACTAAACTTCTTCTTTGCAAAATTTCACAGTGTTTGGGTCAAGGTATGAATTATTTGGTAATTTTAAAGTTGATTGCTCTGTTCTGGAAATTTGACTGTGTGACTGCACTAAATTAATTATTTCTCTTAAACGGTTAAGTCTCTTGATAAACTGTTTTAACAGGGTATAATATACTTATATATGAACAACTTGTGAAATTTTCAGGTGTTTTGGATATAGGTTCTAAGAGATATGAATTTTCAAAGTTGAAATACCAAAACTGTCCGATTTTCTAAAATAAACTATTTTGAACTAGAAAGTATGTTTAAAGTATGGTTTTAAATTCTTGATCCTTAGTTAATAGAAGAATTAAAATTATATTAAGATAATAAAACATGATAAGTTGAATTTAATTATAGTTATGGTCATGAATTATTCATTTAAGTCATTATGTGTGTTTCGATTGATTCGGTATGTTGGTTTGAGATTCATTATGTGTGTGCCGTATGTGTGTAAGTATTGAAGATTGTTGAGATTACTTGTGGGATTATTGGTCAATTAAACTTGTTAATGTTATATAGTATATCCTATATTTCATACTTTATATATATGTTAAATAAACGACTATATATTCATATATCCTGGCCTGCGTGGTCGTAGGAATAATTCCCGATCCATGGCTTATATATGTATACTATCTCTATAGTAACCTACGTGGTCGTCGAGTGAAACTCCGATCCATGGTTTATGTAAATATCAAATATACTATTATACATATATGTGGGGGTTGTGTACAACTATATGTGTATGTGTGTGGGTGAACAATAATCTTTACGTGATTTGTGTTTATTGTGCTACACTTGATTGGATATCATTGTCGTGTGTGTGTGTACGGCCGTGTATGTATTTGTGTATTATGTGTGATTTAATTACTCTATGTGATAATATGTGGTTAGTAAATCTTTGTGTTATTTTATCCTGACATATTTGTGGTGTTTGAACTGTAATAGGATTATGGTCTAAGTGTTCATGTCCATGCATAACACGTGTTTTGAAAATTGGAAGATTAATGGAATGTTTGGGTAATAAACAAATCGGATACGGTGGGCCGGTATCCAACTAGGGTTGAGAGGAGTGATACGAGTGATATGAGTGATATTGGATCCATAGACGGGCTCGAAACGGTTTATTATCCGAATATAGAAATTAATCTTTCACGGATCCGACAAAATGAAAAATGAATTTTTAACACGCATTGCATTCACATGCATTTTAGTTATTGTGCATAATAAAGTGAATTATGTGGGTGTAGTGTGCTTTTATGACTTATGTGTAATAATGTGCTTTTGTGACTCGTGTGTTGTCGTATATTATCTCGTGTTTAGATTGTCACGTTGGGATTCCGATAAGGATCCTGTTGCATTGCATTTATATGCGTGAAGTGTTTAATTGATACTACAGAGACTTTATGTCCGCGAGTAACATGAGGATTTTATATCCGTATAATATGAAAAGAGGACTGTGTGTCCAATATACCAAGATTGAGGTAAACAGTATTATATGTTATATGTAGAGATTTATGTTCGACTATGTTTTATGATAATATTCATGCTTCGTGGTTCTTAATTTCGAAGAATAGAAGTAGTGTATTCGTATGTGATGTTATGTGCTTTCACGTTTGTGATTGACTGTCTTGGTCCAAACGAATAAATTGAATATAGAGGACATAGTTGAAGCTTTAGGATTATCCCTACACGAAAGAACATAGAGACGAGGACTTTAGGGCTCCTATAGGACGTGAGTGACACGTTGAGAGAGGCGTGAGTATCGTCAGGCCAATGTTCTTACTGAGCCAGTGGTTGGGCTCACGCTTTATGCGAATTTCCCCTTTTCAGGTTCTCGAAGTAATCAGAGTGCGCAGCGCAGCGGAGTTCGAGGAATCACGAACCTTGATGCCTTGCACGTCTTACCCGGATTTCGTAAAATATCATGTTTTCACTTTCGTATATAAAAAGGTCTTATGTACAAAAATGGAGATTTTCATGATTATATTTTACTCTGATTTAGGAATCCAGTCTATTAAACGGGGGTATTTAAATCAAGTTTATTTTCCTTCCGCTGTCTTACAAGTGTTTTCTAAACCCCGATGATGTTTAGGTAGCACTCTTTATGAAAATCGTAACTTTAATTTGTGGGTTATATTTTAAGTAAAGAGAATCACTTTTAAAGTTCGAAATTTGGGTTTCTCAAGGTTCAAATTGATCCGAAATTTTTTAAAGACCACTAAAACATTTCTTATTTAACTAAAATTCATGGAGGGTGTTACAAGGTGGTATCAGAGCACTGTTTAATACACTGGATTCCTATTTATGGTTCAAGGCACTCGTGATTTCTCCTCCAGTTCCCTGCCTAAGTCATGAGGTATGATTTATATTTAATTTAGACTAGTTCGAATTAGAGAACTTAGAATTTTATGTAGGCTTATCACTATACTCATTGCTAGTATCTTGTGTTGATCCTATTAAGATTTACAATTTTCTAATTGTGCATATGTGACGATAAAAAGAAGATAGTTATGTGGCTTTAATACGTAATGTTGTGTATGCTTATTTTGGTACACCTACCTCAATATTTTTGATATTTTATGTCATTAATCTAGAATTGATTTTGTGATTATCAGTGGCTAAGTGATTACATTTGATGCTATTTGATCATATGTATCTTGTGTGAAACTTTTGTGCATTATTGGTGGTGCATTCATGAAATACATATGAGGCGTACTCATTTGCATATTTTCGAAAATGCATGCAAAACCTTCGTTTCCTCAAAAGGGAAAAGATTATCTCAAAATCAAATTTCGTTTTTCAGAAATTGGAGGTCTCGATGAGACTCATTTAGAATTTTTCAGAAGAAAATTTTGTTTTCCTAAAAGTGTTGGGGAAGAAAAATGTTTAAAGGATTTCCAAGAAATATTTTGTGTTCACCAAAAATGAGTTTTTCAGTAACGAAAGTTTAAGAAAATATTTTTCCAAGTTACTTGTCAACCCTCGATCTAATGTTATTTATCCAATTATGGAGAGTAATGAAATTATTAGTAATTCGATTTCATGATAAAGGATTTTCCAAATTTTGAGGACAAAATTTTTTTAAGGGGGGAAGATTGTAACACCCCACATTTTCATAAGCATATTATAGGAATTTATTGAATAAATTATCAATATGAACATTTCTATACATACATTACCTTTCATGAATTAATTAGTAAATGCTATGCACCTTAGTTGCTTATATGCATTATATGAGATTATGTTGAATAAATGATGAATATGCATTCAGAGATTAATTAGTAATTTCAATGCATTCTAAGTGTTTAAGTGAATTTTATAAATTATGATAATTATGAATTAGGTGTACTTGTTTGATTAAATGATTTAGTAACTTCGATTCCATGATTAAGTGATTCTTGTGATTCTGTAAGTCTGCTCCTACGAATTTTGTGAATTAAAATTTATTATGCAACTTAATTGAATTAGTTAATTCATGAATTTTCATAGTTTAATTAATGGATTTATGATTAGTAATTAGTTAATCCCATTCATCTAAGTGTTTATATGACTTATAATAGATTTTATAATTTGGTTAATAGTTCCACTCAATTTCACTTTTATTCTGTAATTAAATATTTATATGTGCTTAAGTGCGTGCATGAGTCGTGTAATTTCTTATGCATATGTGTGAATTATATGAATGTGCCATGTGTATGTGTATGGTGTGTTTATATGACATATTATATGAATATGTATACTATCATATATTATATGTGCTTGTATATATGTGAGGATTTAATTATGTGTATACATGTATGTATGTTCTATGTGCATGTTTATTTAATGTACATGTATGTGGCATACATGCCCATAACTCCCTCTCTCTCTCCCGGTAAATACATGGTAATTTCCTCTCAAATTCTTCTTTCTATTATTTTAATATTATATATAGATGCATATATATATATCTATAGATTTTGTGTGTGCATGTGCTTGAGTGTTGTAAAATAGCCGTGTGTATGTGTTGTGGGTGTTGGATTTGTGGTGTGCTTCCAAGTGTCCTAATTCCCTTAATTACAATCTACACCCTCTTGTCTTCTATATTACAAGTAAGTCCCTCTACTCCCATATAAATTGACCCTTCCTCTTCACTATTTTCAGCATAAATACATCAGCCTAAAAATCACTCCTCTCCTCTCTTTCTCATCCAAATACAGCCCCAAAAGGAAGAATTCATCGTCCACTTCCAAACCTTCAAGATTCTTCATAAAAGTCTCTCTTTTCCTCTTCTAAAATCCTCTCAAAATGCCTCTCTCTCCCTAAATTCGAGATTCCTCAAATACACTCAAAGAAACAACCATATAATCTCTCAAAACTCATCTCCAAAGCAATCCAATACCACCCATGTCAAGCCCAAAGACTTCCAAGCTAAAACTCCATGGATCCTTGGTTTCTTCTCCTTCTTAGCCTTTGATTTTCATGGGTAAGGACATTGGTCTTTACTGAAATAATAACCTAATTAATATGAATTATATGTGTTTTAATGAATTATATGTTTGTGGTTTTAATTTTGGGCTTTAGAAGATAAAGTTCTTGATGAACACTAATTGAAATTCAGATTCGTAGCCTCTGTTTGTATTGCATGTCTCATCGGGTAATACTTAAGATAAAATTATGAAAGTTTACTATAGTTTAGATAATTGTGTTAGCTTCATTTTGATATCAATTATGCCTTAATCGGATTTATATTGATTAAGTTATAGATCGTTCTCTGAAACTGCACAGTTTCTGAGTCATTTATGCATTATGTGTTTAATACGACTTTATACTAATTTGATTTACGTGAGTTACTTGAATATGATTATATACTTACTAAACTTCTTCTTTGCAAAATTTCACAGTGTTTGGGTCAAGGTATGAATTATTTGGTAATTTTAAAGTTGATTGCTCTGTTCTGGAAATTTGACTGTGTGACTGCACTAAATTAATTATTTCTCTTAAACGGTTAAGTCTCTTGATAAACTGTTTTAACAGGGTATAATATACTTATATATGAACATCTTGTGAAATTTTCAGGTGTTTTGGATATAGGTTCTAAGAGATATGAATTTTCAAAGTTGAAATACCAAAACTGTTCGATTTTCTAAAATAAACTATTTTGAACTAGAAAGTATGTTTAAAGTATGGTTTTAAATTCTTGATCCTTAGTTAATAGAAGAATTAAAATTATATTAAGATAATAAAACATGATAAGTTGAATTTAATTATAGTTATGGTCATGAATTATTCATTTAAGTCATTATGTGTGTTTCGATTGATTCGGTATGTTGGTTTGAGATTCATTATGTGTGTGCCGTATGTGTGTAAGTATTGAAGATTGTTGAGATTACTTGTGGGATTATTGGTCAATTAAACTTGTTAATGTTATATAGTATATCCTATATTTCATACTTTATATATATGTTAAATAAACGACTATATATTCATATATCCTGGCCTGCGTGGTCGTAGGAATAATTCCCGATCCATGGCTTATATATGTATACTATCTCTATAGTAACCTACGTGGTCGTCGAGTGAAACTCCGATCCATGGTTTATGTAAATATCAAATATACTATTATACATATATGTGGGGGTTGTGTACAACTATATGTGTATGTGTGTGGGTGAACAATAATCTTTACGTGATTTGTGTTTATTGTGCTACACTTGATTGGATATCATTGTCGTGTGTGTGTGTACGGCCGTGTATGTATTTGTGTATTATGTGTGATTTAATTACTCTATGTGATAATATGTGGTTAGTAAATCTTTGTGTTATTTTATCCTGACATATTTGTGGTGCTTGAACTGTAATAGGATTATGGTCTAAGTGTTCATGTCCATGCATAACACGTGTTTTGAAAATTGGAAGATTAATGGAATGTTTGGGTCATAAACAAATCGGATACGGTGGGCCGGTATCCAACTAGGGTTGAGAGGAGTGATACGAGTGATATGAGTTATATTGGATCCATAGACGGGCTCGAAACGGTTTATTATCCGAATATAGAAATTAATCTTTCACGGATCCGACAAAATGAAAAATGAATTTTTAACACGCATTGCATTCACATGCATTTTAGTTATTGTGCATAATAAAGTGAATTATGTGGGTGTAGTGTGCTTTTATGACTTATGTGTAATAATGTGCTTTTGTGACTCGTGTGTTGTCGTATATTATCTCGTGTTTAGATTGTCACGTTGGGATTCCGATAAGGATCCTGTTGCATTGCATTTATATGCGTGAAGTGTTAAATTGATACTACAGAGACTTTATGTCCGCGAGTAACATGAGGATTTTATATCCGTATAATATGAAAAGAGGACTGTGTGTCCAATATACCAAGATTGAGGTAAACAGTATTATATGTTATATGTAGAGATATATGTTCGACTATGTTTTATGATAATATTCATGCTTCGTGGTTCTTAATTTCGAAGAATAGAAGTAGTGTATTCGTATGTGATGTTATGTGCTTTCACGTTTGTGATTGACTGTCTTGGTCCAAACGAATAAATTGAATATAGAGGACATAGTTGAAGCTTTAGGATTATCCCTACACGAAAGAACATAGAGACGAGGACTTTAGGGCTCCTATAGGACGTGAGTGACACGTTGAGAGAGGCGTGAGTATCGTCAGGCCAATGTTCTTACTGAGCCAGTGGTTGGGCTCACGCTTTATGCGAATTTCCCCTTTTCAGGTTCTCGAAGTAATCAGAGTGCGCAGCGCAGCGGAGTTCGAGGAATCACGAACCTTGATGCCTTGCACGTCTTACCCGGATTTCGTAAAATATCATGTTTTCACTTTCGTCTATAAAAAGGTCTTATGTACAAAAATGGAGATTTTCATGATTATATTTTACTCTGATTTAGGAATCCAGTCTATTAAACGGGGGTATTTAAATCAAGTTTATTTTCCTTCCGCTGTCTTACAAGTGTTTTCTAAACCCCGATGATGTTTAGGTAGCACTCTTTATGAAAATCGTAACTTTAATTTGTGGGTTATATTTTAAGTAAAGAGAATCACTTTTAAAGTTCGAAATTTGGGTTTCTCAAGGTTCAAATTGATCCGAAATTTTTTAAAGACCACTAAAACATTTCTTATTTAACTAAAATTCATGGAGGGTGTTACATGTACAAACCTCAAACAGTTGTTGAATTTGTAACCACTACAATTAGGGGTGTTCACGGGCGGGTTTACATGAAAAAAGTAACCCGACCCGATATATGCGGGTTACCAAATCTGCAAACTGCAACTGCTCCATTAACCTTATTAACTGCACGGGTTCGGGTTTGGCGGGTGGGCGGGCGGGTTATCGGGTTATATAAAAGTCAACATAATTCATCTTTTCTCATAAATTATCTCTCCAATTTTCACTTTCCTATAATTTATCCCAACCAATACCTCTCTCTTCTCACTTTCCCGTTTCCCGATACCTTTTCTCTCTTCTTTCACTTTCTATCTCTTCCTTTGACTTTTCACTTCTTGTTTTACTTTCTCTTTTTATGCACCACATCTCTCTTCATTTTTTGTTCCCTAACTCTCTAGATTCAATCACCACTATATCGATCTTTGACATCAACATATACATATATACAGGCGGGTCGGGTATAGGCGGGTTTTTAGTAATCAAACCCGACACCCGACCCATATCAGTTGGGTTTTTCATTTGGAGAACTGCTAACATTATTTAAAAAAAATAAAACATGCGGGTGACGGGCGGGCTGGGTAGGGTTGCGCGGGTCGGCCGGGTCGCGCGGGTATATGTTCACCCCTAACTGCGAACATAAGGACAAAATTACAAGTTACAAGAAAAGGAAAAGAAAAAGTTTTCACTAGAAAAGTAAGTGCCACAGTTTAATATTTAGAAGTTTTGTCCTTTGGGATTCTTTTATTCATGTCTCTTTTTAAAACTTACATGTGATGTATTTCAGGTACCAACAGGAAAAGAGATGGGTGAGACGCAAATGAAGCTAATAACAACCTAATAACAAATCATGGAAAAAAAACAAATTGAGAATTCATCTCCATCACAGAATTTGAGGCCAATAAAAATCACTGACCAGATAAACTTGCGGTTCCATTGAAGAAGCAAGCTCCTGTGGTAAAGAATAAACAAGATTCTATTGTTACCAATCAAAAAGCTCCTGTTGAGAGAAACAAACAAGCTCATATGCCAAGAAACCACGAGTCACAACCAAATCTGACAATGGGAGCAACTAGTAGTGCAATCATGCGTGTAAGGAGAAGTTCAATGGATGAAGATGATGAAGTTGATTATTCCAATCAGAATTAAATGGATTTGAAGTAGCACTTTTGTTTGCATTTATGTTACCTTTGAACTAGTTGCTACTTTTTATTGTTATTTATGTTTGATCACTTTTGTATGCTGGCAGGAATGTTGCCATTTGAACATGTTACTATTTTGATCACTTTTGTTTGCTGGCTGGAATGTTGCCTTTGGAAAGTAAGTGATTTTCGTTTGGAAGTAATCACTTTTGACTGGATTGTTTACTTATGTGAATTAAAAGTAAGTTATTGCCTTTTGGAATTGATCTCTATTGGCTGGATTGATTACTTTTGTTATTTGTCATATTTTGTTGTAATAATTTGATTTATGCACTAGTGTGCAATATAATAGGTACTAGTACTTTATTTTTTTGTGCTTAACTCATAGAGTTTTAACGAAAAATTTCATAGCTTAAATTTACTAAATCAGCAAAAGTCATTACAAATTTTGAAAATTATAGCTTACACCCTAACTGTTGAAATTTGAATGCTTATGGAAATCGACTCATCTGTTAAGACAGACTACATGTTACGACATTAGGTGACGTAACAGAATTGTTGTGTTGTCACAGTAATAAATCTACCAAAAGCAGAATAAAGAACACAACAATTTAATGTGGTTCGGATACAAATGTACCCTACATCCACGAGGACTTGCAAAACTAGTTCTGATTTAAGTGTACATTAATAGGACTTAATAAAACACTAAAGACTCCCTCTTTATGTGATACGCCGTTCTTGCACACGACTCGAACTTGTTGATAATCAAAGCAATTCCTCCTCCGCACTCTTGGACTTCCTCCAATGTTGAACTCCCTTCAAACGGCGGATCGACCTCTCCCGAGATCTTTTAAGCACTTCTCCCGAAACGCCGATCTTCTTTATGGCCTGGTAGAAGAAACCTGTTCTGTTGCCACACCTGTCGTGCAGACAGGGCTGCAGCACGGGCTGCACCCTTCAAAGCCTTTATGCTGGGATTTTTCTTATTAAAGCTCCATCGGACTCATATGAGGTTGAGGGCCTTATATAGGCACGAAATCTCCACCCTAAACCTAACTTGGGCCCTAAGAAATCGATTTAACTAGGTAATAGAATCCTAGTCGATTTCTACTTCTATTCTAGATAAGTACAAAAGATACCTAACTAGAATATAATACATGGAAATAAATCTAAGTCCTAATAAAAATATTACAAGAATAGGACTCTAATTAATTCCAAAATAAACATGGAAAACAAATCTTTGCCAATCTTTAATTTCCACGTATGGCGGATTTCTTCAATCTTCACTAACGGAAATTTGGTGCCAACAATCTCCCCCTTTGGCATAGATTGGTTAGAATCCATGTTTAACAAGAACTCCCCCTGCAGATGAGATTTACTCCCCCTGCAACAAAGATGTCACTTTTCTTCACCCGTCTGGTCTTCTATCAGAGTGTCCCATCACGGGGCACATTACAACGCAGCGGAATTGGGTGAATGCCGTGACAGACTTCCGTCTCAACCTTCCTTGTAAACACACGTCATCCAATAAGCAAAGCAAACAAATCAAAACCCAAAATCAGACACTAAGTATATCTAGTGACCCGCTCTGATGCCAATTGTTGAATTTTGAATGCCTATGGAAATCGACTCATCTGTTGAGACAGACTACATGTTACGACATTAGGTGACGTAACAAAATTGTTGTGTTGTCATAGTAATAAATCTACGAAAAGCAGAATAAAGAACACAACAATTTAATGTGGTTCGGATACAAATGTACCCTACATCCACGAGGACTTGCAAAACTAGTTCAGATTTAAGTGTACATTAATAGGACTTAATAAAACACTAAAGACTCCCTCTTTATGTGATACGCCGTTCTTGCACACGACTCGAACTTGTTGATAATCAAAGCAATTCCTTCTCCGCACTCTTGGACTTCCTCCAATGTTGAACTCCCTTCAAACGGCGGATCGACCTCTCCCGAGATCTTTTAAGCACTTCTCCCGAAACGCCGATCTTCTTTATGGCCTGGTAGAAGAAACCTGTTCTGTTGCCACACCTGTCGTGCAGACAGGGCTGCAACACGGGCTGCACCCTTCAAAGCCTTTATGCTGGGATTTTTCTTATTAAAGCTCCATCGGACTCATATGAGGTTGAGGGCCTTATAGAGGCACGAAATCTCCACCCTAAACCTAACTTGGGCCCTAAGAAATCGATTTAACTAGGTAATAGAATCCTAGTCGATTTCTACTTCTATTCTAGATAAGTACAAAAGATACCTAACTAGAATATAATACATGGAAATAAATCTAAGTCCTAATAAAAATATTACAAGAATAGGACTCTAATTAATTCCAAAATAAACATGGAAAACAAATCTTTGCCAATCTTTAATTTCCACGTATGGCGGATTTCTTCAATCTTCACTAACGGAAATTTGGTACCAACACTAACTGTAGATAGCTCATTACACCATCGTACAACAATTTCAAACATCTAGATAACAATATACACTAACAAAAGAGCAAATTATAAGGCTATGCACAACCACTTTTCCCTTAAGCCCTTCTTCTTCAACTGTTCTTGTTGGTTCTTCAACGCCTCTTCATGTTTGTTAATCTTCCTAAGTAAATTAGGGATTATCTGTCGCGATCTTTCAGCCATTGGAGGGTCAATCCATACGAATTAATTGCAACCGCCAATTTGAAAAAGCAAAATACTTTTTTTTAATAAATATCCAAACATGGAATTCAAAGTTAGAAATCAAACCTGGATTTAATTCAATCCGTGAAGTCTTCATTGTTGTCCTTATTAAACAGTAGCAATTTGTGGTCTCCATTTTCAAAATTTCCTAAGAAAATAAGAAGCGCAATAGAAGAGAAGAAGACGACTAAGAGAATAAGAAAAAAAAAAGAAAAAAAAAAAGCAAAAACACGAAGGTTGATGCAGAGAAGTGGAAGCAAGGAGTAAAAGAGGATGATTTAGAGGGAAAATTGGAGGAGCCGACGAAATTACGCAGCTAGTCATCAAAAGCTAGAAAAGCCCTTCAAAATCGCACATGCAGCGTGTGTGTGTGTGTGTGTGTGTGTGTGTGTGCAATTCCGGCCATTATGGCCTGAAAATTTAAAAAGGGTAACGTGGCAAAACTTATTGAGTACAAGTGGAATCGGGGTTTTGTTTTTGTTGAGGTGGCAATTTACAAAAACGAGCAAAGTTTAGGTTGTTTAATGCTATTTACCCTTTAAAAATTCATTGTGGAGATTGTTTTACAAATATTTTATATTTGGCGGCAACTATATGCTATCCCACAAATTACTTAGGGTAAGACCAAATCTAATTTTCCATGAATTACTCAAAGGCTATTATACCCTTACGAAAATAAGAAACATACAATCACAAACTCCACAAATTCTTTCGTGCAATATCGCACCAACAAACCCCTCTCTCTCTTCTTCACAAACCCATTTCACACTCTTCTCCAAAATAATCTCTGTCACTTCTCGAAAAACCCTCAACAACTAAAACATGCAAATGAAGACATTATGGACTCATAAAACATCAATATGGAGGATTCTACAGAAAAAAGAAGAAAATAAATTATGGATAAATGTATTTTTATAGCTAGGTGA